GGCCAGCACCGCCTCTTAACGGCCCGCCCACCGAGGGCACGCCCCACGCGCCCAGGCCACACCCCTCGCGCCCCGCCCCTCAGCTGCTGCATCGGTTGCTGTGGCAACGATAGCGCTTTCTTCCTGGCCGCCATGCTGCAAATAAACAGATGAGCCAATGCTGCTTAAATTAGAACCTGAGCCTGTGGTGCCCAGGTTCCTGTAAAGACTTGGCCCCTGTGGGTTTTACAGGAGAGAAACATGTCCAATATTTAAAGCATATCTCCTCTTTAGTGGCAACAAACATACAGACATGGGCAGCAAAGTAGAGGAATGAGCATTGGAAAGACAGGGTGCTTATCTCTTGCTGACACTAAGAGGAAAACTTAAGTGGCCCCTGCAAGTGATTCTGGAAACATTTTTGCCTAATTGGAGATAATGGTGAAATTGGGTAATGCAATTGTGCTCTAAAAAAAGGAAGACACTGTTAATTATGTGAAATCTTTGAAAACTACCAAAATTACAAAATTCATTAAGAAAACAGCCAATTACAATAAATCAATCCCAGAATTCTCTGGATAAAGTTTCATTAGCTCTAAAAAGTTGCTGTGAGGTAGTCTCCCAAAACGCCCAAAATGACTGCACTTAGGCTACACTAGTTGAGTTCTTATCAGACTTGTTTTTCTAGTTTCTTGACTGAGGGAATGACTGGAGCAAACAGACTCTTCCCCTTATTCTTTTTAGCCATGTTTGCTAAACTAGATAGAGATAAGCCCTCAAAGAAATCCTTTAAACTAAGCATCCTTTGGGATTAATACTTTCTGTCAACTCATATAATTTTTAACTTAATTTTAGGTATCTGGGAGTGGTTTATGTAAGTATACAAAATAGTTCTTTCAGCCTTAACAGTCTCTCTTCTGATCCAGTCTACGCTGCTGGACCCTTGCAGTACGTCTCCAGATCTGTAAGTTATTCTCTGCTAATAAATAGAAATTAATGTCTTTCAGTTTGCCTCTGAATAAGTTTCCCCGCCTTTCAGAGAATATGAACCTTGAGAGACTCTCCCCTTTGTGAGTGAAGCCCAATGGTTGTCTTAAATGGCTTCAAGTCTTTACCTTTACACAAATATATTTGATGATGACACAGCTTGAGATCACTGCATCCTTAGTAAATAAGATTGAATTATAACTAGAGGGTAATTGGCATGTTCCAAAGTGTGTTTCATAAGCACTGACTAGAGGTTTAATTCAGAAAGGTGAGAAGTTGGCCAGTTTTCCATGAAAACAATGACATTTCTGTCCTAACTTTAAAACTAATGATGCTACTAAAACTACTTTAAAAACTCAAAACTCATCCCGACTTCAGCAGCACATATGCTAAAATTGGAACAACACAAAGAAGATTGAGATGGCCCCTGTGCAAGGATGACACACAAACTCATGAAGCATGCCATGTATTTTTTAACTATCCCATGTATTTTTAAATAGTATGGAGGGGGAGAAAAAGAAAAACTCAAAACTTACTGCTTTTCAGTCTGACTCTCAGTTACCCTCATTTGGCTTTCTGAGGTTGTAAATCATAAGATGAGGAGACTCCCCATTTATCTTCCCAGGAACAGCTGTTCGATTAAAACTGCTGGTCACATGACTTTTTTTGGTTAACAACCTACTGATATTGAACTAGAATACACTGAAAATATTTCACGACACAATAAATCAATCACACCTCAGTATTTATAGGACAGATCATCTCCCCCCAGTCATCTTTGCAATATACCTCTTATTCTGGTCTGTTATACATGTAATGCCTAAGCATGTCCTCCTTTTAAGCAGTTCTTTCTTTCATCTGTTCCAGTGCAATGTTCATTATCTATCTGCTCTTATCCTATTCTCATCCCAACCCCGCAAGTTAGGGCTACTTTATAACAGTGGTGCTATGCCATATTTGTCCTTTTGTGACTGAGATAGTTCACTTCGCATAATGTCCTTCAGGGTCACCCATGTTGTGTAATGTTTCATTAATTCATTGTTGTTCAGTGCTGTGTAGTATTCCATTGCATGAATATACCGTAGTTTTTCTATCCGTTCGTCTGCTGATGGACACTTGGTTTGTTTCCATCTCTTTGCTATTGTAAATAATGCAGCAATAATCACGAGTGTGTATATATCTATTTAGATGGATGTTCTGGTTTCTTTAGAATATATTCCTAGTAGTGAAATTGCTGGGTCATTCTTCAGTTCCTTTAACTTAAATATTGAGCGAGTTCATCCCTTTTGATTTTCTGACTCCAACTCTGCACATTTCCTTATAATACTTTGCTTTGTCTTCCCAAGATGCATTTGAAATCTTAATTTCCTGATTTTTTCCTTTTGCTTTGGCTTCTTAGTGTTGTAGTGCAATATTCAGAGTCATTTTTTTGATGGTCTGTTCCATAGTCAGCACCTGGCCCAGTTTCCATAGCTGATATTCAACTTCTCCCATGATTCTTTTCATAGATATAACCAGTCTTATATCTATGTAGATCATCAGGTGAGATTCATGTGTATAGTCATCTTTTGTGTATCTTATAAGAGGTATTTGCAATTAATAAATCACTGATTATACAAAATTTCTCTTTCTATCTCCAGCTTCATTTCTGTCACCAAGTCCATATTTTCTGACTACTTATCTTTCTTCCTTGTTGCCAACTTTTGTGTTCCAGTCTCCTCCTCCTCCTCCTCCTCCTTCTCCTCCTCTTCTTCTTCTCCTTATTTTTATTATTATTATTAATGTGTCTTGCTTGCATGTTCAATTGATTTATGACTGTAAAAATCATCTAGTTCCTCCTCTTTGGCTTTGTGAAATGGCTATTCAAGAAAAAGACATTGAATAGAGTTGCTTGCAAGCCTGTGGATAATTGGACACTTTTAACAATGGTATTTAAATATTCATAAGATTTTTGAAAACGTGGTCACAAAACATTCAAAATAATGCAATGAGGTTTATGTAACCAGAATTATAAGCATCAAGTACATCTTTTGTACTCTGATTTCTATTTATATTCTGTATAAGGAATGCATAAGGGCAGTGTAAAGTGTACAGTGTTTGCTTGATCCTGGTCATTGTCTTCTCAGATACTATGCATCTGATAGCTGTACAATGAGAAAACCATTAGAGAAGAAGAATTGATGCCTTTGAGTTGTGGTGCTGAGAAAGAGTACTGAACATACTATAGAATTCCAAGAGAATAACTCTGTCCTGGAGAGGGTGAAACCAGCTTACTCCTTGGAGATTTTAACACTCTGTCTCATATACTTTCAACATGTTGCTGGATGAGACCAGTCATACCATGCTTGGAAGGGTGGAGGGTCAGCACAGAAGAGGAAGACCCCGGAAGAGATAGATTGACACAGTCAATGTGGCACTTAAGTCACTTGTGTTAGAGACAGTGAGATTGGCTCAGAAAAAGGCAAGGTCCAGAGCTCTACTTCATAGGATCTCTGTGGATCATAGTCAACTCAATGGCATACAACAAGGGCAGTTTAACAAACTACGTAAGGTGTGTATGCCGACAGAAATTCTAAAATATGATGACAAGTACAGAGATTGATAAAATTTGGAAGTTGGGGTTTACTATTAAGAAGATAATCAATGAGAAAGAAGAAAATTGGATTTGGCTTATAAATTTTATACTAATAGTTTAAAGAGAGAATATCCAATGTTTTCCTACTGAGAATGGTGGAACTGGTAAGGAAGTATTAAATAAACTAGGCAATGCTGTAAAATTAGTCCATAAAGTAATAATAGTACAGGAATTTAATTACACAAACAGATTTGCTACATGCCTTGCAGGAATAAGCGATGGGAGAGAGAATTTAAATAGGGCACCATACTACTTCCTAGAACAGATGGTAGGAGAAACCAGGAAAGACAGAAACGCATTGAATCATATAGCCAGCTGATGATTAGAAACAGGCTTCTAAGAAATATCAACCTCTAGATGAAAGAAGAAGAACTATTTTTTGGTCTTTATTTGTTTTCAAAAATAGTAAGTGAGCTGCATGCAAGAGAAATATACAGAAATCAATTCCTTTTCTATGCACGCAAAGAAAGAATTTTCAAGCTTAATATAAATGAAGATCTAATTCAATAACATCAGATATTACCAAAGAAATGCACTTGAAAGAACCATGCAACACATTACAGGTAAAGCTGGAGAATTTTGCTAAAGAATATTTTTTTTTAAGAATCTGAGAAAGCTATACCTATTGTCTTCACTTAGATGAGAGTCCAAGAGAATGAAATTTCCCTACAGTAATAGCAAGACTCTTGGTACCAGCAGCCAGAAAATCAAGAGACTAATTACATTGGGAAAGTCAGGGACCTCTCAAGAGTACTGAAGAGCTAGGATGTCAGGCAGGAGACTAAGGTGCGCTTGATCCAGGCTATAGTCTTTGCAATTACATGCATTGGATAGTTTGACAGTGACTAGGGTTGACAGAAAGAGAATTGATGCCTTTGAGCTGTGGTGCAGGAGAAGAGTGTTGAATATACCATGGACTTCTAGGAGAACAAACAGGTTTGTCCTGGAGAGGGTGGAGTCAGAATGCTCCTTGGAGTCAAGGATTCTGAAGCTTCATCTGACATACTTTGGGCATTTTGTAAGGAGGGACTGGTCTTTGGAGAGGGACATCATGTTTGGGAGAGTGGAAGGATGGTGCAGGAGAGAAAGACCCTCGATGAGATGGATCGATTCTGTGAGTGGAGTGGTGGGAATGAGTGTGTTTGAGACAGCGAGGTTGGCACAGGATAGAACAGCATTTAGGTCTCT